ACTGAAAAAACTAATTATTTTTTTTCCCAATTTAAAAAATAAGAAGTAGTCCATATGACTTGCTTATGATATTCCAAGTTTTGTGGTAGTTATTTTTTTCTAGTTTTTTTTTTCTTGGCAGGTTAATATGATTCACAATGCAAATAGTTCTTTTGGATGTTAATATCCCAGTCTAGTTCACAGAAATATTCTTATCCATTTGGTCACAAATCAAAGTAATGATCTTTAACTTCCACATAGTAAGACATTAAATGTATTGTTTATTACAGAATCAACCTAATTTCAACCTAAACAACCTTACTGCCTCCGTAAAGTCTTTTACACACGAAATGCAAGATTGGAAGAAACACAAGACCTGAAGACTCAATATTTTACAAAATATAACAGAAAAATAAACTTGCCATATAATAATGTCAGAGAATATAGTCTATTTTATTGTATATTTCTATTCCCATGAGAAAATACATGTATTTATTTGAAACTCTTTTTTTTTTTTTAATAGTTTTTTTTTGTTAATACTATTTAAAAGTTGTGATTTAGTGTTTGGGTAAAAAAACAAAAAAACTTGCATATCTTCTATACTTCTATTTAACATTTTACATCAAGTATAGTTTGCATAGAAAAAGATTCTGGCATGGCATATAACAATACAGGCAGTTTTCTGCTCAGACAACCTGGAATTGTGCATGAATATTGAACACTTTTCTGAAAATATTGTTAGCTGCGTGACACAGATTCTCTGCAACGGTACAGCATTGGCGTATACCGCAGAACTATCTTCAGTGTGATTAGATTCAGAGGCCTGTGTTCACTATATCAACATTATGAAACTGTATGCCTGTTTTTGAAAATTATTCACATTTTTATTGGCTCACCGACGCATTCAAAATAATCCAGTATAGCTATATATATATATAGTGTCATGATTACCCATTTCAGGGTAAACAACAGTGGAATTTCTGGTGGTTAGTTTTACCATTTCAAATTTTTAGTATCATAAAAACTATGATTTGATTATCGTGATTTTGAAAAAAATATCTACAAGAATGTAAATGTTTATATTGACAGTTATTAAATATATATTTTTATATACAGTTGTATTCTTTTTATTTATAAAGTGCGCAAATCCAAGTGCAAAATCACTCATAAAATTTGCAATTACTCATTTTTTTTAGCAAATTTTTTGAAATATTATATTATAAATTTTTATAAATATATATATTTTGTAAATAGTAAACGGTTTGGTAGTTTTTTAATCAAACAATACCTTGAATAAGAATATCAAATGCACCTATAAAAACACACACAAAACATGTACTTGAAATAATAAGTAATAAATATTAAGTAAATATCCAGAGATCCATGTTAATGTTGTTTGTTACAAAAAAATTCAATAAGCTGCAAATTGTATTTGTTGCTTGTTTATTTGAGATACAAAACTTGATTTGATTTATTTATTTTTGAACAGAAATATTACACAAAATAACACTAACAAAAAATTTATTTTAGCATGGTCGAAAATGGAGTGGTATGAAGCACGAGCTTATTATTTCCCACCCTATTACCACATGCATCATTCGTCTTTTACTTCAACTATTTTCTTCTTTTACTTATCTCTTCTTTTTAGATGAGACATATTTGATCCTTTTAGCATCTTTGACAAATTATATGTTTGATTCCAGTTGTAACTTTACATTTTGTAATATAGACCCCTCAAAAAAACAGTAATGCAAATAGCCATTAATTAAAATTTCATCATACCTTTCTCATTTTATCCTTTTTCAATCACCTTCATTATTGTATTCCTTTAATACTATATATTTATGCAACTTTTTAATTTGATTATTATCCTGACATTGTTTGAGAGTCTAATACATGTACTTGGTGTAAATGTGCGGCACGGTGGCTCAGAGGTTAGCACTGTTGCCTCACAGCAAGAAGGTCTCTGGTTCAAGCCCTTTTTGAGTCAGTTGGCATTTCTCTGGCGTGGGTTTCCTCTGGGTGCTCCGGTTTCCTCCACAGTCCAAAGACATGCGGTACAGGTGAATTTCAATAAACTATGAGTGTGTGTGAATACGTGTGTATGGGTGTTTCTCAGTACTGAGTTGCGACTGGAAAGGCATCCTTTGCGTAAAATATGCTGCAATAGCTGGTGGTTCATTCACATGTGGCGACCTCTGAAATAGAGACCAACCTGAAGGAAAATGAATGAATGAATGAACTTTGCGTAAAGCCTTAAGTATGGGTGAGATTTATTTTGGAATGTTTTCAGCTAATTTTAACAAAACTGTGATAATGATAATAACCGTGATCATTTTGATCACTAGTATAATTATGTGAAAACTTCATCGTTACATTTTGAAAACACACACACTATATTTATATGCTTATTTTTTTTGTATCAGTAAGTCATGATTATTCATTTGACTAATCCATGTTTCATCTCACCCTCTAATATTTTAAGGCTTTTGCCTTATGTGTAAAGTTTACAAACCCCACACTTCATTTGTTTTTGTGATTTTGAAGACATCTGGGATTTTTCCAGCTAGCTTTTGGAGCAATGAGTCAAAGCAGGACTGGGGTGAAGGATTGATTTTAATTCATGCCACTATAGTTGAATTGTCCATATTTAAATCCTGCTATTGTACATAATTAAATTGAATTGAATTTAGTTAGAATTTCATCACAGTTCAGAGTACAGAATTAAGATTGCTTGCAGATTCTCAGTGCCATATTGATTTCTACTTTCTGATTATTCACCTTTCGCCTCATGCTATCTGTTCATTCACTTTGAATGTTGTAAATCACAGAAGAGCCTCACACCTCCAAAACGTCTGTTTCTGTTATAAACGCATCATTGTTTCCACTCCTCATTCTGCCCTGCTTTAGAAAGTTTTATAAGCCCAGCTGCTGCATGAAGGGACAGATTTTAGCATGTGATAGAAACCCTGGCACGACCGATTCCCCTGACACGGTTTCTTCGCCTTCAGGCATCCGTCACATCTGACCGTGTCGCACTCGTCTTCCTCCATTCACAGATTCATACCACAATCAGTAACCCAATAACCCGTCACGTTCACGTACAGTGAGGAACTATTTTAGAAACGCTCTTTGTTATGATGAAACCTTATCTGAAGGAGAGGCCCTGCTCTTCATGTTTCAGCTTTGAGAGCACATTTCTTCTTTGTCATATTATACAGCTCTTAAAGCTGGTGTATCAAAGCTTTTTATTTGTTTTTTAGGACACGTGGGTCAGGTATTGTGCTTAAAGGTTGCACGTTCAGCAGAGAGCGAGATCATGAGGCATGTTTAGGCCAGATTGCAGTGTGTTGCGCTGGGATTGAGTCGGGTGAGGCTGTGGAATTTGGAAAAGTTCCGAGGCCTAAAGGGATTCTGACCTCTCCCATTATTTATTCCGGAATTGTGTTGACGTTTTCACAGCAGACGCTGAAATGATAACTTATCAAGTGTAAGATTTCTGCAGACATAATTAGATTTATTACACGGACGCATCCTGCTCTTTGTGTTAAGACTTGAGGCAGTACATGTAAAATTGAGCAGTGTGGACATGCTTGGTGTTGGTGTTTTGAATGTAGTCATAAATGAGGGGATATGATTGGCTTATTACGACAATCACTGAAGGTTTTATCACCATTTACAGTGTTTAGGGTTGTCATGATACTGGAATTTTATATTAATCGATACTGAAGTTTAAAAAGACCCATTTTCTGCAAACATTTGAGCATGTTCTTAAACACCGCTGATTTGCCATTGTGTTCACACGCTCAAACAGAAATTACTGTGTTTAGCTGTGAAGGTCATCAGTTCACCAAACTCACCTCTGATTGCTGAGTGTAAACACAGATAGAGGGACACTGGAGCGTTTCAAAGTCACGTCGATAAGCTGGTTTGTCTATAACAGGCTTTTTCTTATAAAGAGGCCAAAAACTTGATTGAGGGTGGTGTATATAGATTGTATATGTATTAGGGGTGTAACAATTTATCGTTGTACCATTTATTGCGATGCAAAAATGTCACAATATGCATTGTGGCGTTATGACGATTTGATTACGGTATGACGTCCGTTTTTTCTTATTAGTTGAGCTGTTTGCACGTGAGCTACATTCCACCTGCTGTCGCACGTGAGTTCAGATTGCAGCAGCAGTAATGTTAGCAGACCAAGATGAGTGGAGTAGAAATAGAGGATGGCCCATCCTCTCAGAATCGGACGTCTGGCAACATTTCGGTTGTACAGTCATTGCTTTAGACTCGTCCACTTTTTGACACGCATACTGGGTCAAACATAGCCTAAGTTTTAAAGTCTTCACAGTGATTTACATACTTTGCACAGCGACATGGATACCTTCTAATAGTGTTGATAGAGTCACACACTGTATTTAAGGTACAATTCACCCTAAAATATTATTCTGTCTTCATATAATGATGTATTTGCGGCTGCAAAATCACACATGACGTGAGCTGACCGTGAGCTGTTACTACAGAGGGCGGACTATGCACACAAAAAACGCAAGTGACCAAGCAACGCCTTAAGCTCTTACTGTTAAATTCAATTAAATTGAATCATTTCAATAATATTATAAGAAGTTTTTAAATTGTTTTATTTTCCAGAGACAGTCCTGTTTAATTTATTTTCTTAAAGAAGGTTCAGTTTAAGAAGTTGAAACAAAAGAAACACATAAAAAAAAGTTTACTTGGTAATTAAATTTTTTTTAATAAAATTTGCATTTCAGTTTAATTTTCAATTTTTATTCCAATATCGTGATACATATCGAATCGTGAACATTAAATCGTGATACACATTGTATCGTGAGCTGAGTGTATCGTTACACCCCTAATATGTTTATATATATTCTTCACAACATTTTGAAATTTTCATGTCAATAATATTATATATCTTCATTATCTTTATTATTGTGTATTGGCACATACACATTCGGTGGCTGATTTCTGTTTCATTCATACTTTTTTTTTTTCCACAGGACTTTGGAAGTGACGATGAGCGCCGGCTAAATCAGAGGTAACAACGGGCTTTTACATTTAAGCCTGTCATTTTCTATTTGAGTGTGTGTTTGCATTCTGTCAGAAGCAGATGATGAAGAGTCCGTCTGTGTCATGATTGTCTTCATCACACCCGGTAGTTTAAGAGATGCTTCTTCTCCACATATAATCAAGGAAATCTGAGCCCAAGTGTCTGATCACTGCTTTCACGGCAGCTCAAACACCACAGTGGCTTTTTATTACAGTTTCCAGTTTCTTTTTTTGACTGAACCGAGGTCAAGTGGGTTTAATTTGAAGCAAACATCTTGATGGCTTTCCCTTATCAGACACAGTATCGTTCCTAATGAATACCCCTTCTTATTTGTGTTATCTTCTTGCTTGTAATTCAATGACTGAAGAGGAGAGATGGATAAATTGGTGTTTTAGTATACTGGGGGATTGCCAACTGTCTTACTTAGGCTCCAGAGTTAAAAAAGAAAGTCACTTGCTTCTAAAATAAAAAAGACAAACTGCTTTTTTTTTCAATTTCAGTTTTTCAGAGCCAGCTCTTGGCTTTTTATTGATTTGAGTCCAACCTGTTGTGTTTTAATAATCTCTAGATCTACCAGAATCCTAGAGCTACCCCTTATAGTACCCAAATGTGTTTTATTGATGTCTGTTTATATATATATATATATATATATATATATATATATATATATATATATATATATATATATATATATATATAGGTTCTGGATTTACAGTTACAGTGACCTGTTGTAACTGTTTTAGCCTTAACCACAGTTACCTACTTGCAGTGTAAATTTCTCCCATGTGGAGGTTCCTGTGCTGCAGTGATATATGCTTGTTTCTATTTTTATTGTAGCCTTTTCTCTCTGTCTGTATGCCTGTTAAGAGACGACTCATGTTTATCAATTCATAAAATACCTTACTTTGCGATGCATCAACATATCATGACAAATCATATTTAAATATTTTCAATATTTTTAATGCAGTTTCATTTGTTATAACAGCTCTGATATTGATATAGTATAATTGCTTTTAACGCATACTACTCTTTAATATCAGTTTTTATGGGACTCAAAACTATCTGTCTATTTGTTTGACTTTTGATGACATATTTGGGGTGTTTGGAAATTTGGTCATTTATTTAATTGCTGTATTTGTTTAATTACGGCAGTGGTGTAGAAATAGTGCACTTTTTAAGAACAAAATTATTAGCCCCTATAAGCTAAATTTTTTCCCGATAGTCTACAGAACAGATTATCAGTTATAACTTGCCTCATTACCCTAACTTGCCTAGTCAACCTAATTAACCTAGTTAAGCCTTTACATGTCACTTTAAGCTATATAAAAAGGGGGGGGGGGTCATTAATAAATGACTTTATTAATAATATTTATTAAAAAACCTAATTCTGACTTTAACTGTGTGTGTGTGCGTGCGTGCGTGCGTGCGTGTGTGCGCGTGTGTGTGTGTATACATATATAGTGATATGAATAAAGTTTAACACAATAGACACTAAACACTAGCTGTAATCAGGTACAGAAATTGAATAATCAAAATGCAAAAAAAAAAATGCTATTCTTACTTTGCTTTGTCTCATTTCTAATCCAATTATCAAAAAATTCTTGGAACAGGTCAAAATTTAGACTTAAAAGAAGCTACATTTTCTGCCACCGGTTGAAGTCAAATAATCTTGTTTTCACTTTGAAATAGGGTTGTAATGATTCACCTGACTCGTGATTCACAATACTAATATCATGATTCATGATTTATTTATTATTTTTAGACAAAGTTAATTTAATAATTATTTTTTTAAATGCTGCACTTTTTTGCAAAACATTACACTTTCTTTACACTGGATGCCAACATTATCTTCACAAAAGCTAAAAAGCTTTATAAAACTTTTGCTGACAGCGATGAATGTTTCATTCTATAATACTGGACTTATTTTTCTATGAATGATTGCACTTTGAGAGTGTTTAAAGTGTTTTACAGGGTTTTATAGTCTTAAATATATATATTTAAATATATATATTTTTAGAACGTAACTCCTGCAAATAACGAGGGTGTGTGTGTGTGTGCACACACGGTCCCTCGTTATTCGAAATAATAATAAAATAAAAGAAATAAAATTTTATAAATATTTATATAGAAAAAAGTAATGAAATATAAAACATTTTTCAAAAGCTAATGTGACACCTTAAAATAAGTGATAGAACATCACAGGAAAGATAAGACTTATTTCATTCATACCATACTGTATATTGTCGTATGTTACATAACTCTGAAGGCCAAAGGCTTTCTATAGTTGAATGAAGAAGTGCACTGGCTGTATTTAGTTAATCTTTTAGAGGACATATTAAACTAGGGCTTGTGTCTGCTGGTATTGGACTAATGTCCCAGTCAGTTCTTTCAAACTTTGAATCTAGGTCACCGCAGGGTGAAAGAGAAGCTTTTAAGAGACAAGTTGTTCACCAATGTGCGGTACTTTGTAAAACTCTCACTGTATTTTAGTGTTGGTCTCTGGGTAATGGCCAAACTGGGTCAAATAACAACCCTTGAGGACAGTCAAAATGCTTACGGTACTGTACAGACTGCAGAGCTAAAGGAAGAGGATGTGTACAGAGGAAGATTTGTCATCTCAAAGGTCACGTGACATCCTCAAAGGTCACATTGCTCAGGAAATAGCTGTTGTGTTGACTGTAAACCCAACACAAGCTGAATCAATAATAGTGTCTGTCCTTGTTCGAAATGATTCTGTCTAGATGTTTTTTTTTCCAATATTTTTATTGCATTTTTCCAGATATTATACAAACTTACAAATGTATATGAAAAATAGAAGTCCTATCAGCAAAGAGATGGCATGAAATACATAGCAATAAAAACAAGAAATCTGTAGAACTCCTAAATTAAACTTACACTTTTCTATCCCCTTCTATGCACCATCCCTCCCATCTCCCACACCTCCCTATTTTCTGAGGCCTTCAATTAGTATGTAACGGTGAATCAAGACACTGATAAATAAATAATAAGCCATTTGAAAAAATTATAAATAAAATAAATAAAAATAAATAAATAAATAAATATATGGGTAAATACAGAGGATGAAAATGTAAAATAAAAACTAGAAGTCTCTCTCCCTTTCAAAATTCTGGTCAGCAGTTCCTGAAATGTTAAGGTTCTCAATGACTAATAGTATGGGACTCCATGTTTTGTTAAAGGAGTTCAGTGATGATTTAAAACAATGTCTCAGTTTCTCAAGATAGATGAAATTAAGAACCTCTTTAATCCAGTGTTCTGATGATGGAGGGGACACATGTTTCCATTTGAGGAGAATTGCGCGCCTGGCGAGCAAGGGGGTAAAGGCAATGACGCAGCATGATGTTTGTGTAGTTGGGGTTGGAAGATAACCAAAAAGGGCAGTCAGAGGTTCAGGAGTGATGATTATATTAAGAGCTTGAGAAAGAATTTTAAAAATATTACACCAATAGGTTGTTAATTTTGAACATGACCAAAACATGTGAAGGTAATCGGCCGGTGACTGCTTACATCTGTTACAGGCATCATTTCTGTCTGGAAATATTCTAGAAAGTTTGGCATTAGTGAAATGGGTCCTATGAAGTACTTTACATTGTATTAGGCCATGTCTGGCACAAATAGATAAAAAGTGAACTAAACTAAGAATGTCTTTCCATTGGTCCTCAGAAATCTCAGTGTCTAGATGTTTAAGTGCAAAATGATCTGTAAATGAATGAAACATCATGAATGGCCTGCTGTAAGTGCATTCACACAAGCTAATCTTCCAAATATTTGAACACCGAAATAATGAGCACGTTGCTGGAAAGTAAAACGAAATGGTTTTTATTATTTTGATCAAGCTTAGAAAAGGGTGTGGAGGAACTACTGTGCCAGTTACCTGAGTGAACCTATTAAACACAATCAGCTTTTTTGTTTTTTCATGTGGCGTGTGTGACCTACATAGGGTCATCTGATAAGCAAAAGAGCAGTTGTTCCATCAGCACATTCAAAGTGCTGTCAGTACTTTCTGTCCATCTCCATCTCTCGCTCGCTCAGTTTGCCCTGTGATCAGTTGAGTGTTTCTGTAAAAACAGGATATGAGAAAAGAAGTCTGAGATTCCAGCATTAGCGATTGCAAACACAATGGAGGCTGTGTCTGATTTTTGTATCTTCCTGTGACTCACAGATAAGAGTTTAGTCCCTCAGTGCTTCTAAGCTAACAGAGTTTCCTTTAAATCCCAATTGAAACGAACATGCATGAATAATCATTAAATAAATAAGACGCTGGAAAAAATTATTTGTTAAAAAAAAATGGCAAAAGTGAAAGTTAAGATTGTACATAGGGCTGGGTGATTAATTGAAGGCGATTTTCTTTTTTCTTTTTTTTTTTTTTTTTTAATGCACATTTTGTCAGTAAAACTGGTTCTAGCATAACTCCAGCAAAAATTTTTTTACATGCACTGTACACTGACAAGCTGTGCAAAATTGTGTCAAAAAACTAAATTGATCTAATTAGGGAATTATGAGATCGAGGTAATCATTTAGTAAAAGTAATTTCTCAGATACGGTCTGCGTAGTGTTGACCAAGGCTGCACACGAACAGCCACATTTAACTTCAGTGTAGAGTTTGAAATAGGTTTTTTGAGAGATCTTCTGTTTATAAAACAGTCTGCGGGCTAATTGCAGCCAGCGGGATAATTTTTTGTGGCTCTGCCTTAATTTGAAAGTTTAAAATTACACAAGAAATCATTAATTATTTCAGTTTTATTTGTTGTCTGAGCGATCTTTTATTTTGATAAGTCTTTTATTTTGAAAAATGGCCATATTCTATCGGTTACATCTCAGTCACTTGAGCGCCCAAATATAACCCACAAGCAGCAAAATGAGTAAGAAACAGAGGTCTTTAGAAAGTTTCATTGCTAAGGGGAAACGGTCACGGTGGCACAGAGGGTTGCACAATCACCTCACAGCAAGAATGTCGCTGAATTGAGCCT